TGTAAAATAAATAATTTACTTGTTTTAAAAAAAAATCAGTAATTCTTAGCTTTGTAAAATGAATAATTCATTTTTTCTCTATAACTTCCAGTGAAAATTAAATGTATTTAATAGGATAAGACTAAAACAAAGAGACTAGGGTCATAGAAGGTAAGTTTTGTATGGACTCATATTTTACAAATTAACTAATTAATTAATTGGGAAAATAAGAGAGAGAAAGAGGGTGATTGTTTCATTTATAGTATCTGAAAATCAAAAGGTATTATTTCAAGTTGACTTTCAAGTGCTGGAAATAAAAGAAAATTAAAGAAACATTAGGAAATGCAATTTTATTGTCTCATAATGGCAATAATGAGACAGCAAAAAGGAGAAAGCTCTTATTTATTATCATAGGTACTCACAGGGAATTAATATTAATAGCATCTAAAGAAATAAAGGTAAATAGAAAACAAAAATATAAGCCTTCCTAAATTAATAAATATATGTTATATGCATGCAAAGCAAATAAATTACAATGGAAAGGCTTTATAACACAACTATGACAGACAATGCCAGATATAGCTATTATATCAGTAAATGCAAAGAAGTTTATATTTTCAGATTAAAGGCCAAAGTAAAACTTAACTTTGTTCCGTATGCAGGAGATACATCTAAAATTTTTCAGGAGAGCCAAAATTAAAGTAATTTTTAAGATGTTCATATCAGATAAAGTGGAATTCAGGATAAAATGTATTTTATAATGCCAAAGGAGAAATTGACAATGAAGATTTAAAAGTCATGAAAACTTATGAACCATTCAAAATAGCAGTAACATTTATAAAGCAGTAACAATAAAAATTACAGAAAGAAATGGACAAAATTCACTAGTAGAGTGAAACCTACTAGTGAAGTTTTAAGAAACCTAAACAGTGTGGAACGAGCAGTTGGCGTAAAGGCTACATTTCAAGTCCTGGACCCAGTGGCTTAAACTCACAATGGGCCTGTGTACGAGTGTGCCCAAGATCCCAAGAGGAGAAGAGAGAAGAGATTGCTCTGTGGTCATCCCTCCTGGGGTGGGGGGGGATGTTTCTCACTTTCTGTCTCTCTCTGTCTTTCTGGTGAGCTCACATGCCTTATACAAAGAAAAAAAAAAAAGAAAAAGAAAACAAACAAGAAAAAAGAAACCTAAACAGTGTGATCAAAAGAAATCTAATTAATGAATATTGAGATTTGTTTCTGAAAATAAACTCTGTTTTCACATGCCCATGGAGCAAGTCATGAAAATTGATTATATTTTAGATCATAGAGTAATCCTGCCAATGTATTTGATGAAAATCAAAAACTTTTGTAAAAATATCAAATAAAACTAGAAATAAACCAGAAAATAAAAGGACCCTTTCATCTGCAATTAAAAATATTTTAGGGACCAGCAGTTAGCATAATGGTTATGTCACTGGACTCCTATGTAGTCAACCACGGTTCAAGTCCCGGACCCGGTGGCTGAAACCCACACCAGGCATGTATGCGTGTGTGCCCAAGATCTTGAAAGGAGAATGGAGGAGAAGGGATTGTGGCATGGCCATCCCCCTGGGGCGTGATTTCTCGCTTTCTGTCTTTCTCTGTCTTTCTGACAAGTACATGTGCCCTATAGCAAAAAAAATAAAATAAAATAATATATATTTTAAACAACTTGGAACATGAGTTAAAAAACACTATAAATTGAAATTGTAGAATTCCTAAAAAAATGATAATAATGGAAACATAAAACTAGTCAAAGAAACATCATAGACCTAAGTACTTATAATATTTTAAAAGGAGGAATAAAAATAAATGAAGTAAGCTATCAATTAAAAAAGTTGGAAAAGGAAAAACAAAATACACTGAAGGAAACAGAAAAAACTATTAATAAAAATAAAGCAGAATTGATGAATTAAAGAATAAGAAAACAGAACTGATAATGAATCCAAAAACTAATTCCTTTGAGTGAAAAAAAAAAAATAGAATACACAAACTAGCCAGCTTAATAAAATGTAGAAAAAAGTGTAACTAAGAAATTAATAAATGACAGTGGGCAAATAACCCCAGAAAAAAAGTATATTTAAAGAATTTTCAGATTGCTCTGCTCAACTGCATGCAAATAAATTGAAAAACCTACACAAAATGAATAAATGACTGTAAGATAGATAGAAAATGTAAATAGATAAATTCTAAGAAATAGCACTTGTCAAAAGTGATCTTCTTTAAAAAAATAACCAGGTCCAGATGATTTTACAGGGATTTCTTGTAAAACCTTTTAAAAAAGATAACTCCAAACCAATTTTGTCATAGGTTTGAAAGACCTACATATTAAAAAATATATATATAAAGAAAGGGTGCATATAAAACACTTGAAGTGATGGAAAGACATGTTACCTGCTTGATTAGAATTTAAATCAGTTTTGTAAGTTAATTTGTTAATTTAATGTAGTCTCAATGAAAATACTGCAGTTTTCTTTTTACCCAAACAGATAAGATGTTTTAAAATTTCATTTAGAAAAATTAAAAAGTAAAACATGAAGATTCTTAAAATAAAAGAAAACAAGCAAAACAGAAAAGTAGAACAAATCCTAGCAGATACTAAAATATTACAAGGACTCTGGACAAATGCATAGATAAAAATCAAAATTCCAGGAATTGTGGCTAGCCCATACTGCAGTGATTAGACATTTCAGAGTGGAAGCTCAATTTCACATGGCCAATCAGATTTGAGTCCTGGCTCCATCAGCTTGAAAAATACGGCAAGTATATGTGTGTTTACATATACAGGCAAATACGTACCCAAGATCTTGACCAAATGGAGAAAAATGCATTGTGACATGACTAGGCCCTTTTGAGGGATGCTTTCTTTCTCTCTTGTGCATGGATTGCCCTCTGGTATGACAGGAAAAAACAAAAAAAAACCCAAAAGAACAAAATTCCATAAATAGAGTCAAACACATACTGAGAAGGATGCACAGGAAAAAACCTTGGAGTACTCTAACGTTTGAGCAACAAAGGCAGAGAAGCAGCCAAGAACTACCCCCCCACACACACACACACAAACACCAAATAACCATGAAATAGGAACAAGGCAGTTATTAGTGATCCCAATGATAGTGTCAGTTCAGTGGGAGGAGCCCAAACCTAATTTTCTTTTTTCTGTTAAATCACCATGAAAGAAGGAGACCTTAGCTACTGAGACAAGTTTTCATAGCCTTGTCTTGAGTCACTTGGCCATTCCCTGAAATCACAGCAGCAGGGAGGCGATGTAGCATAAACAGCCCAGTTTAGGGTGAATATTCACACCTGGATCCATCGTGGTGTTCACCGAAGTCAATTCATAGAGCAGGAGTCCATAAAGAAACCTCCCTGGTGCCCCAACCTACAAAGGTGTACAAACCTCTCTGTATGTCTAAAGTAAGTAATGAAGATGAAGCATTGATGTAATAAATATCTATATTAAATCCAAGATCAAGGGACACTCTCAGTCTTACTTATCATAGCACAAATAATCTGTAAATGGCAACACAAAAAGTATCAAGTATTTAACGTTCTTGATACAGCGTATCTTCTTAAGAATAGTTTTTCTCTTATTATCTTTTATCAAGTTAATTTAATTTACTGATCATATCATAAGCTTATCTAATTCTTATTTTTAGGTATCATCTTTTAATGCATTGGGAACCATGTATTTAATTAAGTGCAGAGAATTGTAAAATGAAGATAATAAGGTGATTAATTTGAGCACAATAAGTACAAGTTAAGTTTTAACAGTCCTATAGTATATATATATTTCTCAATTATCTCTTAAAGTATGGTTAGACATATCCCATTTAATCATAACACATTTAACCTGCTTTTAGATGAGTTAAGACCACTAACTTTTCCAATTTTGTTTTAGAAATTAGGTAAATTTGTTTTAGAAGTAAAAAAAATTGAAATAGAAATGATTACATTAGTCTATGTGGAATTTGACTCTTCATATTTTCACCTTAAAATGTTAATTCTGTTTCACCAATGACCTGTGATTCTACTTAGGAACACTGCTTTCTTTCCATTTTTAGCTTCTGAGAGAAGATATACTTAAGTATGTTTTAATAAACTGTTTTAAAGCGAACTTAATTTTTGGAACTTATATTCCTTATATTTACAAAGATTTATGATAAATAAGGTTAAAATTAAGAGGTGGCAAATAGGTTCTTAAAAATACTTCATAATTCATCTGTTGGACTCAAGAACTAAGGTCAGTTGGTGGAAGGATGGAAGGAAGGGACACCGAGACTTAAACTATGAGGATTTTTTACTTTTTAATAAAACCATGTGATGGAAACAAGAGTTTCATTTCCACACGTAGGCACTGTCGTGATTGTTGCACTGACATATTAGCATTGTGAGGAGCAATTATTCTTTCACTCCAGACTCAAATGGGAAAAGCCTACTTGCCTCTGTAACTGATTAAATCACCACTAAAGAACAAAAATCACTACATTGCAGTAGCTTAGAAAAGTTCCTCCCTTCCCACAGATGCATGTACGGGTGCCAGCTTCCTCCTGACCCACAGGTGTCCTCATTGTGCACTCCATTGTAGGGCCACTCTCCATGTTCTGCCTCCAGAAACTTTCATCTTACACCGCCTATGGCCGACCTATCGATTTTCATCCCGCTTTTTCTCTCTGCTCAGCTCTATGGCTCTGAATCTGCTCACCTAGGACTCAGACTTTGACAGACACCCCACAGTAGGACAATAAATAATTGTTTACTCCAATTTAATTGTTAATAATGTATTTCCACTTCCAAGATAATTATTTAAAATTTATAAATGTGCTTATTTTATTACTTTTTAAAGGGCCACAAACTTTATTAAAAATGAATGTAACATAATATGTACAGATGACACATGGTGCCAATTTTATTTGCAGGTATAATAGTCTAACTCAAGTTTACAAGTTACACCTTTGCCATGGCGTTGGCTAAATCTTGAACTAGTGCAGAATTCATCTGTGCTAGAGTGTGCTGATCTTAGCATGCTTAGATGTTGCATACTTATTCTTGATGGTCATGTGCTTTGTAAGCCCATGATTCACCATGACTATATTCTTAGCTAGGTGCTGCTTAACAGGAAGAAGTGATTCCTCAGTATAAGACAGGTAATGCTGGAGAGTTGGTGTCCATTCACCATTATCAAGAATTTTCAGGGCTAAGCAAAAAGCTCCTGCTGCAATTTGAGAAGGAGGAAAGTGCACCATATTGTAGTCGAGCATAGTTAATTCCATCAGGTACTTGGCCAGAGTATGTTGTTCAACATCGACCTCTCCAACTTTAGATGCTCGACGAAGAAAGTGCAGGGGTAGAGGACGACCCAGACCAAAATTTAAAGCTCTTAGAATCTTCATTTCCATCTGTCTGATTTGATGCTTAGTGTAAGTATTGTTAGTCACAAAAGCAAAGTCACCAATTTCTGGGGGGTACATCTCCTCATATTTGCTTGTAATAAACATGGCAGTGACACCAACCAGCTGCAGCATCTTCTTGGGCACATGATTATTCTGCATGAATCGGTCAATAATAGAAACAGTCATGTACATGGTCTCCTGCAGTATCCTGAATTTCATCTGAACCTGTACTAGCCAGTCAATTAGGATGGCTCTCATGTTTCCAGTGACTTCCTGACCCAAGAGGTATTTTGGTCTGACTGCTTGCTCTTCCTCGAGCTGTCTTAAATAAGCATAGACATCTTTTACACATTCACCGCAAAGGTTTGGGTCAGCTCCATCTTCTGCGTCCACATTATTCACC